TTTGTCCACAAGAAAAGGAAGTTGGAATGATTCGGTCAGAGTCATATCTGTCGGCTTTAGTTGGTTAAGGCAAAAACAGTATTCAATTGTTTAGCTTTCATATAGTGGAGACTCTAAATAGTTTTTTTTTTTTTCCTTTTCACACAGACACACCCAAATACTATCTGCTCTCTCAATTCTCATATTGAGCCTGTTTGGAACTGATTTTTTCAGTCAGCACCAAACAAAACCACTATGACAACAAAAACTTATCTATCCGAGAAAATCTCCAGGAATATTTTAATATTCTGACTTGGAAGTTTCCTAAACTGTGGACTTTGAAACCTAAATTTTGTCAACTAAGCTGCAGTCATCTTAGAAATTGGAAGTTTTTTTTTTTTTTTTGTTGAACTGAGAAACTGGAAGTTTAAATAGCCCCTCATGGGTGGTTGTAACTTTCATCATCAGGGATGAATTGTTTTTACCTTTAAACCATATTCAGATTAATGAGTTGTAATTTTTGACATGATACAGTAAAAAGAGATAAAAAATAAATAATTATGGATTTTGAGTTTGGGTAAGACAAGATAGTGATGTAATTTTTTAAGTGTTAACACAATACAAATGTCATATAAAATTAGGGGTTAATTGTAAATTGTATCTCGAAAAATCGTTCGAATCTCAATTTACATCCCCAAAAATAAAAAATTTCAATTTGCACTCTCAAAGGTAGAAATTTATATCAATGTGCACCCCCAAAGATCAAAAAACTCAATTTGTACCCTCAAAGATAGAAATGTGTATCAATGTGCATCTAAAACTAACCGCCATCAATTTACTGCCTAAAATTAAATTGATAAATTATACCTAGATCACCTCACTCTTGTCACTTAATCATTTTTACCTCTTCACATTTAGAATATTATTCTTACATCTCATAACGTTTGTGTACGTGTAACACGTAACCCTTTTTAGTTGATATCTGTTAATATAACCATTAAAAAATATAATTTTATCTTAATAAAAAATTATAATTTCATATTACCCTTTATTTTATGAGTCCGATATACTCTAAAGTTCAAAATCAAGCTTATAATTTGAATGTCTAATAGAATGTAGGTATTTATATAATATTTTTTTTATATCCAATGAAATATATCACTTAAGCATAATTATTTGAATGCCCAATTGAGGGGACATTTTAGATTGAGATTATTTTTATTAGGATTTTATAACCGTTAAAAAATATAATTTTATCCTAATAAAAAAAATTATAATTTCATATTACCCTTTATTTTGTGAAGTGGCCCAAATGATTAAGTGACAAGTTTGAGGGAACCTGAGTATAATTTATCAATTTAGTTTCAGGTAGCAAATTGACAACAGTTAGTTTTAAGTGCACATTGATACAAATTTCAACCTTTGAGGGTACAAATTAAAATTTTTTATCTTTGAGGGTACACATTGATACAAATTTCTATTTTTGAGGGTATAAATTGAGATTTTTGATCTTTAGATGTAGAAGTTGAGATTTGAACAATCTTTGGAGTACAATTTGCAATTAACCCTAAAATTAGTGGGTTAAAATTGATTAATTCTAGATCATTTAGCGCGATTAATTTAATAGATCAGATTTAAATTATAAATGACACGATCCAAATACTTACAACCGCGATGATGACGCTGGGTTCAATCCCTCCTCAAGCAACCGTCTCTGCCACTCAAGAATCATGTCGTTCCATAACAGGTCGGCCATTTTCCCTCACCTGTTACAATACATACATTCCATTTTCCCTTTGGAATGTCATAAGGAGAGCAGCTTGGTTGCCAAAATGTTGGTTGAATTGGGTGGTGTGTCGTTGGCTGATGTTGGTGAGGGAGTGGATTATCTGATGTATATATAGTAGGTTTTGTGGTGGTTGGAATGGTGCTATCTGGTGGTTTCATGTAGTTCAGTGTTAGGGATGGGTTGTCGAGCTGGGCATTTCCTATACATGTTTAAAAGTTTTCATTTGAGAATTTCAACAAACAGCAGGAATGCATCTCTGCTATGTGCCTAAGTTTGAGATGAAGACTGGGTAATGAGTTACAAGAGCTCATCAAATTTTCTCTTCAAGGGAATACATTGGCTTCACTGTAAGCTATATGATGGTTGGTTCCTTTGCTCCCTCTCCTTTTTAATTAGTTCTCCTGGTTAGTTAACTTGGCTTTCTTTCTTTATATTTGGGTATTATACTGAAAAATACTTATTACCCATAAATTTTGTCAACACTAGCTTGTAGCAGTAAAATAAAATAAAAGATATACAATATCAAAAAATGATCTATATAATATTATAGTTAGGACATTGTATTCTTAATTTATAAAAGTAAAACAACGATCAATTTAATCTAATATTCGTATACTTTGATCCAATAGTACAAAATTGATCCCAAAAATATTTGTTTTTGCCCAAAAATATAAATTTCTCAGCACGACCCTAATGCCAAACAATTCAATCAATATACTCCTCAATGTCTAACAATCTCATCAATCCACACCTATATCTCTCTTCATTTTAATTTTAAATTATGTAATTAAAAAAATTAAATTATTATTTAAAATACAAATAAGATCAATTCGATTTTTGATAATGTATAATACCATTAAACACGGAGTTATTGCAAATATTTTGATATTGTAATAAATGCTAAGTTCATGCAAGAGAAAACAGTTTGCCACAAAAATGAATCGCTGGTTCAGGTTATCCATCCTCTACTTATTGGGCGATTTGCATTTTGTACAATGGAAGATTTAAAAATTTTTATTTTACATAATTAAAAATTAGATTTTTCACATTACACTCATGAATTTATTAAAAATGTTGCAATATGACTATTCTATTAGTTTTCATTATTCATTTCGTCAACGTTAATAAGGTGAGTTTTAATGAAATAAGCAATAGAAAGTAACAGAAGAATTACATTACAACAATTTTAATACATTGAGAATACAGTGTGAGAAATCTCATCTTTGAGGGTACAAAGTAAAAAAACCTAAATCTTTCAGAGTTTAAAATAAAATTTCCCCTCAACTTATAATTTAAGTAATTGCTATTAGCAAGCTTTTGAAATACATAGATACAACTTGCAAGCTATGATCTACTACCACTTTGTTCGTGGTGGATCTTGCACAATATAAACACGAGAACAGATCTTTCTCTTGGTGAACTCGAGTGAGTCAGTCGAATGGTCAATCCAGCTGTCTGGGACGGTCTGTGAGGTCCGGTGGTAACTTGGAACGGTAACGAGAGACCCTCGTGGGTCAATGGAACGATCCAATAAGGTTGAGGGAGGTGCCTGGAACAAAGGAAGACAAGTTAGAAGGGCGCCGGAGTGTTTTCCGGCGTATCCCCTCCGACGATCAAGTCAGTTTTTGAGAGAGAGGAAGAAGAAAACACTGAGTATAATTTGTAGCAAAGGTTTTACCTTGTTTTTCTTGCCTTTTGTGAGGAGTATTTATATCTCAAATATTCATGATTGCTGTCAGTGTGGTCAGTAGGTGATCATTAGATACAGGCAACGTGCGCACTGATTCCTATGAGAAATGTCTTCTCTTTTAATTGCTCGGGATCCCGAGCAACCAAGGCTGTGTCATCGGCATGCCGACTGTTTAATGAGCTCCTCTCGGGGAGGATGCAATAAATGTCCAGCCTTAGAGACATTTATTGTCTTTCACTTCCGAGCCTTACCACATTGAATGCAGTCTCATCAAAGGAATGATGTAATTAAATATTTGCTTTTTCAAGTCGTGTGTCAACAAGGGTATGCGGTCTTTCTGTCTCTGATGTGACACAATATGCCACGCGTCCATTCTCGATTGGCTGTGGCCCCATGCCTTCCTGTGCCTTCTGACACCAATTGTGTAAGACGAGGTCATGATAACTAACCTAGCCTAGCCTAGGCTAGTGACCTGTACATCAGTAGCTCTGCAGGAGAAGAGAATGTCATCCTGGACATTGGTACATATCGGTACCAGGGGGGATTGGTACATATAGCGACCGATGTACCTATATCAGACCGAGGGATACGTGTCGGTACGTAATCGTAATGGATGTCACTTGATCCCTATGACAAATACCTCGGGGGAGAGGGACTTGTGAACCGATGTGTACGTGATCTCAGTAACAAGGATTAGTGACATCGAGGACACGTGTCTTCATCTTGGAGTATTCCGAAAATGTCTCATCAACTTCCCCCCCAGCCTTCGATCTTTTGACACCGAGGACACGTATCTTCATCTTGGAATATTTCGGAAATGTCCCATCACACTTATAAGATTTGTCGGCAAATATGATCTTACTACATGAATTTGAATATAGTGGCCTTCAAAACAATGTTTTTATAACATAATTTTTGTTACCTTTCTTGATTAGGCACACAAAAATTTTTGTTGCCTTGTAATTTAAAGTTATTAAATAACAAACTCCTCCACTGTTGGTTATGTTAGAACATTGAATAAACAAGAAAAGTGCCTGGAGCGTGGCTCCATTTCTAAAAAATTTCATGGTTCTCTGTTCATGCTTCTAAAGTAGGCATTGTCGGAGGCAAGAGTGCTATAATATCCGTTGAATATTATTGGGAGAATTAGGCAGGAGAGAACTAGAACTCTTTCATACAGTAATACACTAAATCAGCTAAATTACGTATGATATATATAGACTCACCATGTAACTAATAAACTTCACATTAATACCATACATTTTCCATTACACTTTTGCCCACCGGAAAAATAATAAAACACACTCCTTTAGTTGCAAAATTAACACACCCTTGATACACATTGTCTTCCACTATACCCACTACATGTACCAAAAAACAAATATGACGTTTATTTCTTCACAGTCACACCAAGGAAGATGACCTAATCCCTGGTTGCCACCATCGTCCCAATGGTCCACACCGCTTGTCCTCTACGAGTATTAATTATAGAGGATTTTTGTTATTTCAACCTTTGTACCTCCATGCAGTTAGGAGCCTCTCTTAGGTATTTGACCTTAAAAGTTTGTCCTTGATAGAACCCAACTCTTGCACAACATTACTCATGTCCATTCTATCTTGTGGTGACTCCACAGAGCATGCCACTCCAATTTTGACAATTGAAGTCAAACACTCCTCAATTTTGGTTGCTTCTATTGGACTTTGCAAATTGTTTGTTGATGCTGTTATCCCCTCCTCTTCAATTATATCTAGAAGCACCGGATCCGCAATCCTTGTCACATGGTCTGGCAAAGCCATCATTGCAAACTTGTGGAGGTTAAGACCTTCTTGAAACATGTCGTCAGTTGGTATCTTTCCTGTTATCATCTCCAACAACAAGATCCCATAACTGTAGACATCTCCTTTTGCTGATATCTCCACTCCAACACCATAATCTGCATTAGTAAAATATTGTATTACATAAACAAATGTGCAAGATTCTTGTGCCAAAGTTATATCCACAATGATCGTATCAGAATGGCAACTGATGTCAGAAAAGAAAATTATAGAGTATTGTAGTTACCTGGAGCTGTGTACCCAATTGTCACTCTTATTCCAATCGAACTGCTTTCAGTTGTATTTGGTAGTAGTGGACGAAGCCTAGCTAATCCAAAATCTCCAACATGTGCAATCATATCGCAATCAAGAAGAATATTGCTTGGTGTCAAATCACAATGAAAAATTGAATCTTCGCAACAATTATGAAGATAATCAAGTGCACAAGCCACATCAATCCAGATGTTTACTCTTTGAAGAAGATTTAAGCCTCGAAACTGATCCTGTCTGTTAGTGGCTTCAAGACTTGAGTGCAACCAGCTTTCTAGATTTCCATTAGGCATGAACTCATATACTAGGGCTTTAAAATCATTACCTTGAAAATCAACACTCGTGCAAGCAGTTATGATTTTTACAAGGTTTTTGTGAAGAATATTTCTCACGGCTTCCCACTCGGCCTTGAAACTCTTGGAAGCTCCACGCCGACGGAGGTTAAGTACCTTGACAGCAACGATCATCCCTTCTTGATCAAGAATTCCTTTATATACAGAGCCAAAACTACCTATACCAATCAAATTTTCTAAAGAAAACCCATTGGTCGCTTTGAGAAGCATTTCGTAAGACAATCTCAATAATTGTTCGCCCAACAATGATCCTGTAGACGGAACATTTTTTTTCTTCTTTAACCAGCAAAACATGAGAGATGACACAAAGGTTACCCCAACAAGAGCAGAAGACACCACGATAAGTAATATCTTTGCAAGAGGCCTCTTCTTTTTCTTTGATTTTTTTATGGTGCATGTGGGTAGATGTAGTTCAGATATACCGCCACATAGTCTCCTATTTCCGACAACTGATACTATACTCATATTTGCGAAAGCTCCTTTAATCGATACCTCACCCTCAAAATCATTGAAAGATAAATTTAGATATGAAAAGGACATTTGCTCCATAAATTCTGGTATTTGTCCAGTTGCGAGAGAGATCCAAGATCTGAAGACCTTTCAAAGAACTCAACGATGGAGGAATAGAACCATCAAAAGAATTACCCTCCATGTATAGGGTTGCAAGGCTAGAGCAACTGCCTAGGCTACTCGGAATTTCACCAGACAAATTACTATCAGATACATCCAGTTTCACCAAGTGGTTTAGGTTGCCAACCTCTAATGGCAGGGATCCATGTAAACGATTTTGGTACAAATCAAGTTCAATTGAAAGAGCTAAAAGTCCAAAAATTTGCTTGGGCACAGTTCCACTTGTTGAATTTGGTGTAAAAAATTGCACAATCACTTATTGATATTTCTGATATCACGTAACTTACAATAAAACAAACAATAAATATGAACTTAAGAACCGTAACATAAATCAAAACAGTTACAGTAAACACGAAAGAGTTACAACAAACAAATACACGTAACTCTATGTCAAATTAATGTAAAAACTAACCCGATTGCAGAACAGAAACTGTTATTGAACTCGTAGTAGATCAATGCTAGTGTTTGACACTATGTCCTTAAGACAGATTTCGCCACCACACACGGTGCTTATGGAATCTGAGAACCTACCTCCCAGAATACAATGATCTTCCACAAACAGAAGTAGCACTTCAATCTGTTCGTATAGCGAACCAAAACTTGTGTCATGTATTCTCTAAATGTACTACCTTAAAATGTCGAAATGTAATACACTTATTGCCGAAAACAGTCTGGTTATCTGAATGAATAAAACGAATGCATGACCTGGGTATTTATAGATGCATTGGTGATTTTTCGGACAATCGCCTTACTAAAGGACACAACCCATAAACTAAAATCGACCTAGCTAGTAAACACCTTGAATAACTGTTCTTCATGAATAGTCACATCTTGAAAATTTCGGACTGGAGCAAATCTGAACTATTCAACGGGTTCGGACTGGAGTAAATCTGAATTATCCAATGGATACCGAAATTAATTTCGGATTAAGAAATTCATGCTCAATTAATTAAATGAATTTTCTCTAAAAAGATAGGGCTTGGTCTAGAGCACACCCAAACCCGAACCCGACCCTGCTGGCGAGGCGGGCGGCGCGCGCGCGTGTGTGGTAGACCCAACGGTATGTAGGTGCTCGCTCATTTCATAAAATTGTGGTACCCCTTGGAGCCCAACTCATAGAGCAAACTTGATCTATATATGCCTATGTTGAATTTCTTACTCAACCAATGTGAGATTGGTGTCAAACCCCACATTGCACATCTTCTATTTTCACTCTTCAAAAGGGTCACTTTAGAGTTTATTTTCTTATTCATTTCTTACTCGATTTGAGCAAGTGAATATTTCACGTTATACTCCTCACGGAGTAGAATATGAACTCACGAAAATTTATTCGAAATAACTAATGGGTCCCACTTTAATTTAGGATCAAAGTTGACCAAAAACTCTATTTTTTTTTTACACTAAAAAATTACTTTTGGTCTAACAATCCCCCACATGAATGGAAATTTGGTTGTTAGTATGCAAATGATAATGCTGACACACTATAGAGAGTACATCTTTGAAAAGATCGTGCATCGAGATAGGTAGCTTTTGACCTTAAACCTTTCCTAGTGAAAGCTCATCGAACTTACCGGCTAAATAATGAACGTGATGTCTTGAATTATTCAGTTGTTTGATAAATCAGATCGAATAAACTTCACACAGTCTCTTTTCTAACACAATTGGTTCTCATGATTGTGTTCATTTTGGCCCTGAACAACTCCTGGTTTTCATGAGTGCTTTAGAGAATTCAGCCTTTACAAATTCTCACAGAAGCGGCCCCTTCACATACATATAGGTGACTCGCATTAGGAATATCCTACAATATCCCATTTGGATTTTCTAAGGTATAAGAGTCATTAAAAGCATAGCTTACCCTAATAATCTCTGCAGGCAGCACTAGTTTATCATAGGAATAGGTAGGAGAGATTATCTCCTTAGTGCTTCTTTTGAATCACGCATAATTCGGTTGTCCCTTTGAACCTAGATCTTGGGATCTCCAGTCAACTAGGTTGAGTTGTCATTAAGGTGATTCTTGTGTCATAGGCTTTAATCTCATTCCCCTCGATGTGCAATTTACTTGCTCTCTCGTCAAACCTTTAGTAAGCGGATCCGCTAGATTCTCCTTTGACTTTTATAATCAATGAAAATAATCTCATTTGGAGCAATTGTCTAACGGTATTATGTCTACGACGTATATGTCTAGACTTACCATTATACATGTCACTTATGCTCTACAAATTGCAGATTGGTATCGCAATGTATACAAATTGCTGGAACAGGTTTAGGCCATAATAGAATATCCTCTAGAAATTGGCGAAGCCACTCAGCTTCCTCTCCTTCTTTATCTAAAGCAATAAATTCAGATTTCATTGTGGATCTGACAATACACGTTTGCTTAGAGGATTTTCAAGATACAGTTGCACCACCAAGTATAAAAACATAACCACTTGTGGATTTTGTATCCTTCATATCAGATATTCAATTTGCATCACTATACCCTTCAAGTACAGGTGGATATCTTGTATAAAGCAGCCCAAAATTCAGGGTATATCTTAAGTATTTAAGAACCCTAATAATTGTCTTTCAATGGTCTACTCCCGGATTACTTGTATATCTACTCAATTTACTAACTGAGTATGCTATATCCGGTCTAGTGCAGTTCATGACATACATTAGACTACCAATGATACGAGAGTATTTCAATAGTGATATGCTTTGACTAGTATTTTAGATAAATGAAGATTTATATTCACTGGTGTTCTAGCAATACTACTTTCATTTTGATCGAACTTCTCAAGTATTTTCTCAATATAATGGGATTGAGATAATATAAGTCTATCAGATGTTTTAGAAATTTTAATTTCTAGTATAATATCTGCAACACCCAAATCTTTCATATCAAACTTACTGGACAACATTTTCTTGGTAGTTGTAATAATATTATTATTACTACCTAAAATGAGCATATCATCCACATATAGGCAAACAATGACATATCCATTATTTGTGTCTTTGACATAGACAAATTTATCACATTCATTAATTGTGAAACCATTTGACATCATAACCTTGTCAAATTTCTCATGCCATTATTTTGGTGCTTGCTTTAAACCATAAAGTGATTTAACAAGTTAAACACTTTATTCTCTTGTCCCGGAGAAATAAACCCTTCGGGTTGATCCATATAAATTTTCTCATTTAAGTCACCATTTAGGAAAGCTGTTTTCACATTCATTTGGTGTATCTCAAGATTATGCAATGCTGCAATAGTTATGAGCATACAAATATATGTTATTCTTGTAACGGGAGAATATGTATCAAAGTAATCAAGACCTTCTTTTTGTTTGTAACCTTTAGCTACAAGTCTAGCCTTGTACTTATCAATTGATCCATCAGTTTTCATTTTCCTCTTGAAAATCCATTTACATCCCAATGGCTTACTCCCTGGAGGAAGATCTACCAACTCCCAGTTGTGATTTTGCATGATGGATTCAATTTCATGTTTACAGCTTCTTTCCACATAGGTGCTTCAGGAGTGGACATTGCTTCATTGAAGCTTTGAGGCTCATTTTGTAACAAATATGTTAGAAAATCAGGACCATAAAACTTGGAAGTCCTTGCCCTTTTACTGCATCTAAGTGTCTCTTCATTTATAAACTCATTGTCCATATTATTAGTCGCAGTATCAAGAGTTCGTTTAAGAGAACTCTCATTACATGCATTTTTATTTGGAAAGACATTTTCAAAGAATGATGCATTTCTTGATTCAATGATTGTATTGACATGTATATCAGGAATATCAGATTTATGGACGAGAAAACAATATGCACTATTATTTATTGCATAACAAGAAATATACAATCAATAGTCTTAGGTCATATTTTAATCCTTTTAGGAATAGGAACCATCACCATAGCCAAACACCCCCACACTTTTAAATATTTATAGGAAGGCATCCTTTCTTTCCATAATTCATAAGGGGTTTTGTCTAACTTCTTGTGGGATAGTCTGTTTAAAATATAATTTGTTGAAAGCAAAGCTTCCCCCCACAAGTTCTGAGGTAATCCCAAACTTATCAGCATGGCATTCATCATCTCTTTTAAAGTTCTATTTTTACGTTCAGCAATTCCATTTTGCTGAGGCATATAAGGCGCAGAAATTTGGTGAATTATACCATGTTTTTAATAGAACCGATCAAAAGGGCATCATATTCACCACCTCGATCACTTCTTATTGCCTTAATTTTTTGCCAAGTTGATTCTCAACCTCATTCTTATAGTACATAAATTTTTCCAATGCTTCATCTTTACTCCTTAGCAAATATACATAGCAATATCTTATGCAATCATCAATAAATGTAACAAAGTATTTCTTTCCACCTCTAGTTTGAACATATTTCAAATCATATGTATCACTATGAATTAATTCTAGAGGCTCAGTACTTCTTTCAATATTATGAAATGATGCTCTAGTTAATTTTGATTCAACACATGTCTCACATTTATGATTTGCATCAATATTGAATTTATGCAATAATTCTAAAATCATTAATTTATGGAAAGTATCAAAATTAACATGTCCTAATCTACCATACCATATATTAGAAGATTCAAGCATATAAGCAGAAGATGTGTTCTTTTTATTAAAATCAGATACAATTGTCATTACATTCATCTTAAACAGTTCATCACTCATAGATTCCTTGCCTACATAAATCTCACTCTTGGTGAGTACAAATTTGTCGGACTCAAAAATCAACCTAAAACCCTTTTTACTTAACAATAATCCAAAAACAATATTCTTTCGAATTTCTGGAACATGTAGCACATCATTAAGAGTAAGTTTTTTTCTGGAAGTCATCTTCAATATAACATTTCCTTTGCCTTCACTTTGGAAGTAGAGGAATTTTTCATGTAGAGTTGTTCTCCATCATTAATTACTTCATATGAAGAGAACATCTTCTTATTCGAACATATATGTCTAGTGGCCCAGTGTCCAACCACCATTCTTTGGTATTTTCTACCAAGTTCACTTCGGATACTACAGCAGAAAAACTAATGTTAGAAACATTTTCTGAAAGTTTTTCTACCTCGGTTATATTAGCTTGGGCAGCCTTCCTTTTGTGGTTCCGTTGTGCTTTACTGTTGCGACAATCCTTTGCATGATGTCCCGATTTATTGCACACAAAGCAATTGTCTTGAACCTTTTGGAATCACCACCCTTGATCCCTTGTTGGCCAACATACTTCATTTTCTTGTTGGTTTTATGTCCCTCTTCAATCACATGTGTCTTTGACTCCATGGAATGGTTGTCAAATTTCTTTTTAAAGACTCTATTATCCTCCTCAATCCTCAATCTCACGATCAAGTCTTCAAGTTTCATTTCTTTACGTTTGTGCTTCAAATAATTTTGAAATCTTTTCTATTTGACGGTAATTTCTCAATAATTGCAGCCACTTGAAAAGATTCACTAAGTATCATCCCTTCGGCATTAATTTCATGTAGGATCACTTGAAAATCTTGAACTTGACTTATGATAGTCTTGAAATCCACCATTTTGTAATCAAGGAATCTGCCCACAACGAATTTCTTCATTCCGGCATCCTCCGTCTTGTATTTTTTATCCAAGGATTCCCACAGCTCTTTAGCCGTATTGATTGGACTATACACATTATATAATGTATTATCCAATCCATTGAGGATATAATTTTTGCATAAAAAATCAGAGTGTTTCCATGCTTCCACCGCAGCAACAACTTGGCGGTCAATTTCATTCTCATTACAAACAGGAGCATCCTCACGAAGAAACTTTGCAAGATTCAAAGTAGTAAGATAGAATAGCATTTTTTGTTGTCATCTCTTGAAATCATTCCCATTGAACTTTTCAGGTTTCTCCCCATGAGACACATGAGTAGGAACAGAAATAGGCATCACAAGCACAATTTGATTTGTAATCACAGAATCAATATTATCATTTGCAGCCATTTTTGATAAACAAAGAATATTCAAAAGTAGAAAAACAGTAAGTTTATTAAAACTGAAACAATGTCATTGTTTTATGTCACTGTTTCGAAGTTACTGGTTTAACGTTTCTGTATGGTGTCACTATTTGGTATAACTGTTTACTTTAAACACAAAAACAGAACATAAAAAGAAAAAGAAAAAATTTCCATAAATTTTTCAGTCTCAAAATATCACAGATTGTAAAAAAAACAAGTTTTTAACAATTTGTAATATTTTGAATACTAAAACATGTATCAGAAACACAACAAGTAATTAAACTAATGCAGAAATCTGTCTTAAGATTGTTGTATTTGGTGTAAAAAATTGTAAAATCACTTATTGATATTTATGATATCATGTAACTTACAATAAAACAAACAATAAATGTAAACTGTAGAACCGTATCACAAATCAAAACAGTTACAGTAAACACGAAAGAGTTACAACAAACAGATACACATAACTTTATGCCAAATTAATGTAAAAACTAAATCGGTTGCAGAACAGGAACTGTTATTGAACTCGTAGTAGATTAAGGCTAGTGTTTGACACTATGTCCTTAAGACAGATTTCACCCCCACACACAGTGCTTATGGAATCCGAGCGTCTGCCTCCCAGGATACAATGATCTTCCACGAACAAAAGTAGTACTTCAATCTGTTCATACATCGAACCAATACTTGTGTCGTGTACTCTCCAAATGTATTGCCTTAAAATGCCGAAATGTAATACACTTAATGCCGAAAACAGTCTGGTTATCTGAATGAATAAAACGAATGCATGACCTATATATTTATAGATGCATTAGTGACTTTCCGGACAATCACCTTACTAAAAGACACAACCCATAAACTAAAACCGACCCAGCCAGTAGACACCTCCTTGAATAACTATTCTTCATGAATAGTCACATCTTGAAAATTTTAGACTGGAGCAAATTCAAACTATCCAACTAATTAAATAAATTTTCTCCAAAAAGATAGGGCTTGGTCTAGAGCACACCCGAGCCCGGCCGGGCCGGGTCGTGGCGAAGCGGCGCGTGCGCGGTAGACTCAACGGCATGTAGGTGCTCGCTCCGCTCATAAAATTATGGTACCCCTTGGGGCCCAACCCATAGAGCAAACTTGAGTTATATATGTCCATGTTAAATTTCTTACTCAACCAATGTGGGATTGGTGTCAAACCCCACATTGCACATCTTATATTTTCACTCTTCAAGATGGTCATTTTGAAACCTATTTTCTCATTCATTTCTTACTCGATTTGAGCAAGTGAATATTCCACGTTATACTCCTCACGGAATAGAATATGAACTCACGAAAATTTATTCGAAATAACTAATGGGTCCTACTTTAATTTAGGCTCAAAGTTGACCAAAAACTCTATTTTTTTTTTTACACTAAAAAATTATTTTTGGTCTAACACCACTAAGATCATTTTGAAAAAGTCTTAGAATTAACAACCTTTGGCAGTTTTCAAGGCTTGATGGAATGGTCCCCTCTAATCTGTTATTACCCATGTAAAGCTCAGTCAACCATGATAAGTTTCCGATATAATCTAGAATCTCTCCAGAAAATTTGTTTCCTTCAAGATTCAATCTTTGTAACATTTGCATATTGCCGATGGTAGGTGGGATTTTGCCAGTGAATTGATTATGTTGTACATCTAACAGGGTTACGTTGACAAGATTACCTATTGTTGAAGGGAGAGTTCCATACAAAAGATTGAAACCTAGTGTCAGAAAATAGAGTTGGGTTGAGAGATTTCCAAAAGAATCTGGTACCACACCTGTCAATTGGTTGTTTTCTATACCCAATACTTCCAAATTGATGTAGTTGACCATGGAACTAATGAAATTCATGTCATCAGGTTCCCTGTTCCAAAATTGTTATAATATAACAATATCAGCTCTATCTTCTTTAAACGTCCAAAATCGATTGCTATTTTTCCATTGAAATTATTGAATTCCATTTGGAGGCTATTCAATTCTGTTAAATTGGATATTGATAGTGGAAGCGGTCCAGTAAAAAAGTTAGCTTCCAGCTGCAGGAGTTGAAGATGAGGAAGCATCATACCTATGTCTGGCTGAAGACTACCATGAAGTTGATTATTAGACAAAGACAAGATAATTAACGACGAAAGATTATACAAGGAAGGAGGGATCATACCAGAGAGGTTATTTCCACCCAATCCAATTGCCATTATGTTTCTCAATTGGCCGAATGCATCTGGAATACTTCCTACCAAATGATTATAAGCTGCAGACATGGTTTCCAACAATGTAAGATTCCCAATGAAGGAAGGAATCCCTCCTGTAAATTTGTTTACATGAATTTGAAAATTTGTAAGCTTTGACAAGGAGCTAAGCTCATCTGGAATTTTTTCAACTAGATTATTGTTCGCAACACTAAGGAACGTGAGTTCTGAGTAGCGCGATAGCGTGGATGGGATTTTTCCTTCAAAGTTGTTTCCATTCAGGTCCAATATTTCAAGCCTAAACAGACGACCAAGTTCAAGGGGAATTTCACCTTGAAAGATGTTACTGAGATTAAACACCCGAAGAAAGCTGAGGTTCCCAAGATAAGGGGACAAGGTGCTCGCTATGCCTCTAGACTCTAAATCTATCGTGGTGACTCTCCTGTGCCGACGTCCATATTGAACACCATTCCAGTCGCAGAAGTTGAGAGAATCATTCCACAACCTCAAAACACCTTGAGGGTCATTTGTGATCTTTTCCTTGAAGGCCAACAAGGCAAGTCGATCTGTCTCGTTTCCGCCATTATTGGTCCTAATGGCAGTGGCAGTGAGGATTGTTACACCAGGCAGCAAAATCATAAATGCATAACAGAGCTTATGCAGATGAAATGAATGGAATGGTGGACTCATTTTTTTTGAAAATGTTCTTCACAGAGGGGTTCCTGCTTGCTAGCCTGTAAGCTTGCATGAATGAAGTTAAATGCAAAATAATTTGTTGGTGAACTTAGAACAAGCACTGACCGTGACTGATGATGACGTACACACTCGGGCAATAAATCATTACGCTCGACAAGAATAGATCTAATGGGCCCGATTGATTCACATCCACATCACAGTTGATCACCAGACCACAATGTTTTTTTCTTGGTCTATTTTAGGGAATAATCAAATATATTTTGTTAATAACTAATTTTGGAAGTCAGCGATAATAATTGTAATAAATCATTGCATGAAAGTCAAAGTAATCCACCGCAAAATAAGGAATCCACCGCAAAATAAGGTTTCCATTCTATAAGAAATACAACCGGGGAAGTGATGTGTAGTGGAGATTAAATTCCACTGTGGACGGCAATATTAAATTCCATTGATAATTGCCAATATTAAATTCCATTGTTAATTGCATTGTGTTCTTCAATACTTTTTATCCTCAATTTTTTGTATTATATTAATTATTTTATGTATGTTCATTGAATTTAGACCAGTTTAGTGATGCGAATGTTGCTTCAGGCAGTCCTCATAAGAATTTGCATACTTCATCTAGCTTAGAAGTTGGAGGAAGAAGGGTACAAGCTGATCAAATTTTTATACTTAATTTGTCTCAAATTGCAAGGCAATTAAACTCTTGATTTGTATTCTAGTTGTAATTTTTAAATGTACGATATTGATAGCTTTAAGTGTTTGCATGTTCATTTATGTGTGAGAGCGTGAGAAGATAATTGATCAAAAAAAAAGCAGCTGACAGAGCAACAAAGGAGAAGAGACAATACATGTTTAATCTATTTGATAGACTGTGAAATTGGGGAGATTTGAGCGTTTTGGAGAACAGAGCACATTAGAGTTTTAAAAGGATTGTGAAATATTTCATGATAAAATTATCATATTGGAATTATCATTAAAAGGTACTTCTCTGGAGCGCTACCAGTTTTCAGAATTAAGTAAAAGATCTTTTATTTAATATTTTAATATATTTTTAAGGAACACTTAACATATTAGAGAACTTAATTTTAGTTATTAAACATGTTTAATTAATAAGCGTTAATTGTACTATGTCCATGATGGCTATGTCACTACATGTGTATAGACACCTATTTTTGTATAGATACACACACACACACACACACACACATACATATATATATATATATAAAATAAAGTAGCAAATTTTAAAAGATAAACAAAAATAATTTTTGCTTTTCGCGATTCAGGTCACTTTAAATCTTACTTTAAAGTTAATCTAATAGTTAATATTAACACTCTAAATTTAATAAGAAAAATAGGTCCCTAAGGGTGTATTTAGAGCGACTTTTTAAAAATATTTTTAAGAATTATTTCTCATAAATACTTTTAAAAAAAATAGTGTTTGAAACCGCCCTACCACTACTTCTACCACCACCACCCCCCACCCCCACCCCCACCCCCACCCCCTCCACCATTACCTCTACCACTACCGCCACCACTTATGCCATCACCACCACCCCTACTGTTGCCGCCCGCCACCACCACTGCTACTATTACCACCATCACCATCACTATCGTTGTCACAACCGCCATTACCAACACCGTCGTCGTCGTTGCCGCCACCGCCATCACCACCGCCACCAACATCGCCGCTATCATCGTCACCACCGTCATCGCAACCATCGTCATCGTCGTCGCCGCCGCCGTCACGGTCATTGTCACCCACTACAACTATCATCATCTCTTATCACCACCTCTCACTTCCACTATAATCGATATTTAAATTCATTTATCTTTTCTCTATGTTTGTGATTTGATTTTAGATATGAATACAAATATGTTTATTATTTACCAATTTTTATTACTCTATGTCTTTAGGCACAGACAATAACTAGTATATATATATTTTCACCAATATATATATCCAAATTGATAATAACTCATTAATTTATATTGCTAACTTTAATCCACTTCTTGGATATAATAACACATTTACTTTTTAAAATAGCAATTAGTTGATGTCACATATTTGCCACCTATTTAATTTAACATGCACTAACGTACATAAAATAGTAAAATCATATCACATGTAAACATATTTATTTAATTTTTTTTTTTACAATTAAACAAAAAAATTCCCTTATGGTCATTCAATCCCACTAGTTCTCATACATTATTCATAAGCTCCCTATAACTATTAAAATTTCAATCGTACGTGTTCAGGTCTCATATCAATATTCCTAATTCAATAATGATTACCAACCATGAACATGCATATCATATGTGAATATACTTACAATAAATATTTTTACCGAGATCAACACGCTATCTCCCGTATTTCCGATACCTCACTTTTTAATTTACAGACTAAAGTTTAACTGCCACTAGATTATTTAACATTCAAATTCATAATATTAAAATGTCTATCGTGCATTCTCGAGTCTCACAAATTGGTGATAACATATGGCAATATTTATTGACATAGTATTACCGTTATATTGAATATTTTTTATGAGGCATTTTATGTTTAGTATAAATTTATTTTTCTTGTTTTTTGAGTTATAAAAATACTAATTAAGTTTTTATATTAAAATTTTGATATAATGTTATATCAATTAATAGTATTACTAATCCAATTAATCTCTTTCATGGCATAGTCAATCTTTTCTTAGATTTTATCAAATTTTAATTTTTTTTTAAAAAAAAAATTCGCAGAAACAACTATTATAGAAATTATAATTTTTTTTTCAATATTTTTTATCTCATTATCTTTTATTTTATTATCTTCCATTTCATTATCTTTGATTTCATTATTTTTTTTTAATGTGCACAATATCATTATCTTTTGTTTTTATTATCTTCTATTTCATTGTATTTTTCAAAATTTTCATCTAAATTTTTTATTACAATTTCTTTATTACTAATAACAAATTTATGAGGTTGATTGTTTTTGAAATTCTTTTAATTGGTCCTTTTTTGTTGGGTGTTGGCCAACTTGGCTTACTACTAGAGTAGAGAGAGAGAGAGAGATTATTTCAATTTTTTGGTTTTTAACTTTTTAGTTTTTATCGGTAGAGAGGGAGAGAAAGAGAAAGAGGAGGATGAATGATTGAGAACGAATTGTAAGTAATGATTTGATTTTTAAGTTGATAATTTTATTTATATCATTAGTTTTTTTTTTTTAATTTTTGATTTTTTTGTAATTTTTTGATTTTTTAAATTAATATGAAATTAATAAGTTTGAGTTTTGTTGTCTTGGAGGAAGGTAATCAAATCAATAGGTGAATCTATCAAATCCTTTTAATAAAATAGGTGAGTATAAAATGGGTTAAACATAACACAAATTCAATTATAACACATGTATACACAATATGAATCTAATATGATAAGAGTATAGAATAATTAGATATAAATTAAATAAATTTTAATATAATCACATAAAATAAAACATAATTCGAACACAACACCACACACGTATCAATTCCCCCGGGCCTAACCGAGCCCAACTCAACTTCAGACAAAGCCCAACCCAATCCACTTCAGTTCCAGGCCCATTACGTATAATACGCTGTAACGCACGGGTTCATTTCATTCATAGAGATATTTTCCCTTCACCGAAGTAAAAGCTCGAGAGCAAACCATGTCGTCTTCAGTCACTGACTCGTTCGATCAACTCGGTGGCGACTCACTCGCCGGTACGACTCGTCCCTTCGACGACGGGTACTTAGGCTACGATCCTCGCCTTCCATCGCAACGATTCGATTCATTCTCCAACTTTGCCGACTCAGAGTCTGTCAAAGACTCGGTTGTGGACGACTCGCCGATCTTCACTTCCCAATCTATTCCTGACACTCCTTCTCCGCCTCCTGTCTACGTCTCCGGTGGTGGGTTTGGCTCCGATCCTCCAGAATTCTACCCGGAATCAAACGAAATGCCGTTTGAGAGTGACTATGTGGCGTCGAATGGACCCATTTTGCCGCCTCCAGCGGAGTTGGCACCAGAAGAGGGTTTTGCACTCAGAGAGTGGAGAAGGTTAGAATTATATACTTACTAGTGAAATAATTTTATGTGCTTGTGATTATCTGTAGATTGATTTTTAAGATTCAGGATTAGTTACATTGAATTTGAAGCCTTGGTAGATAATTTGTTTGAGTTGAAACCGAGTATTGCGGGGTGATATTTTTTTTTGGGATTTGCTTATTTTGACATCGGTTATAATCGTACTCTGATCATTACTGTTACGGTTTCTATTAGAAATGGGCTATACATCTGATTTGTGTTAGCTGATACGAGTTACTGTTACGATTTATATTAGAAATGGGCTATACATCTGCTTTGGGCTAGTGTTTTGTTTAGGAGGAAGATACTGTGCGGTAGTTGATACGTGTTACTTTTAGGGTTTATATACAAATGGGCTGCTTTAGTTGTGGAATTTTACATTTGCTTTCCTCAACTTGATGAGTTACGATTGTGATTTCTATTAGAATTGAACTTATGTTAAAAATGAACTGGTTTAGTTTGGTCTGTAGATTCTAAATCCAGCTTCAGATGTATGTGTATTAGCTAGTATAACTTTTTTATGTTTTCAAAGTACTAGTGTTTGTTGGGGAAGCCACGAGCAACAACAATAGTGGAAGAATAATAACCTCCTTTGCGAGATTAAAATGGGATGAGTCACATTTACCCATCTTGTTAACTTACCCCTTCTTTGCGAGGCTGTTCCCAGTGTTGAGCTCTACATTGGTTGTCTCGGTTAACCTTCTTGTGTCACATTTTGTGCGACATATTTCTTTGTTGAGATTTTGGTTTGAATTCACACCTAGATAGAATTATTTTTGTGTCAGTCGATAGGTATTCATAGAGAGTGTTTTTTTGTAACCTACCATTACTTGGTGATTGTGCAAATTTGTAGTCAGACTATGGTCCCATTTTTTGTCCCCTAGTATAAAATGGGCGTCTTATTTTGTTGATGTTCTGATCTAATATCTTCTGTTGTTTATATATGGTTGTTTGCTTGTGTTGGTTGATTGACAGTAAAGGCATTTTAATCTCACTAAGAGGAAAAAGGTTCTTTTTGTTTTACAGTTTTGTCACTCTTCTTAATAGTTTTCGTGTTTGATGTGATGTGGTTTGTGGTTTGCTCATTTGTAATGTGGGGGAACCAGTGCTATTGCTGCTATAATGTAGCATATTTGGTCCTGTCTGAGCATAAGAGTGCTGTATTTTTGGTTATTTTTTTTTTTTTTACTTTTATTAGTCATTTATTTGGTATTCAATTTGACTTGAACAATTAGATTATATCACTGGTTCCAGAGGAAGAGAGCGAGTAAGTTTATATTTTACTTTTGCTGAGATGATAAATTTTTTGAAGTCATATAGAAATGCTCATAATTGAAGTGGATTTTTATTTATCAGAGAAAATGCAATTCGGCTTGAGGAGAAAGAGAAGAAAGAGAAAGACTTGTTAAGCCAAATTATTGACGAAGCAGATGAGTACAAAGTTGAATTCTACAGGAAAATGCAGGTCTCCTGCGAAACCAACAAGACCACTGCTAGGGAAAAGGAAAAGGTGATAGTGGACTATTACTCGGCGATTATCTTGCTGTTTAAGATATTTCTAAATTTTCATTTCAACACAATGAGTGATATCAATGGCACTGTTATGTCATCTTCAGTTTCAAATGCCGAAATCATTTCCAGTACTACCGAATTTCATTACTTTTCTCGTGCTTTGTCCACTCATTTTGTTGAGATGGAATTTTCAGTGATTTGCTTATGCAGTTACCTTCCGAGATTTGCTTGTGCAGTCGCCTTCCAAGATTTGCTTGTGCAGTCACCTTCCTAGATTTGCTTGTGCAATCACAAAATATGGCTATAATCCTTCTACCAAACCATTTAATTGGGATGTGGCTTTGACAATTTGAGTTGTGAAACCTTCCATTTTATGGTGGGATGAGAGGTTTAGAGTTCCTTTACTTCCGAGTATCCAGTAATCTCAAGTAGAACTACGTAAATGTTATGTTTAGGCAGAGTTTGGGTCTAATTAATGTTGCAGAAGACTTGGGTGTTAATATATGCAAGCTGGATAGCAATAGGAGCTAGGAGGTTTAAACTATAACCTTTAGTCAAGGTTTTCATATTCTTATCTATATTAATGAATTAGAGAGCGCTCAATGCAAGTTCGTGGGGCTAACATGCTTTAGTTTAAAGTGGGAGATGTTGGGCACGCAGGAAGTTGGGGTAGAATGTGTTTACTTTTCAAATCATTCACGACCGCGGCAAAGATAACGAAATCTACTTGATTATTAGGCAATTTTCTGTTTGTTAGGCACATGCAGCTGGCTAAAAGGAATGGTGGTCTTTTTGATATTGCGGCCATCAGTGAACATGGTCTGTAATTACCCCCTCCACTTTGCAAAAAAGACCTCCTTTCCTTTTCGGAATATCCCAAATTCATGTCTACTTTTGAGGTATGAATTAACAATGTTTATCCATATTTCTGAGCTGTCTTTTGTATCAGTTATTTCTGGCCAGCCAGGAGAAGTTCCATGCTGAGGCTGACAAGAACTACTGGAAAGCAATTGCTGAGCTCGTTCCTAATGAAGTCCCGGCTATTGAAAAGAAAAGAGGGAAAAAGGACCAGGGGAAGCAGCCTTCTGTTATTGTGATCCATGGGCCAAAACCTGGGAAACCAACTGACCTGTCGAGGATGAGGCACATACTCTTAAAGCTAAAACACAACGCACCTCCCCATCTGAAGCCTTCCCCACCATCAGCACCTGCCCCTACCAAAGACGTCAAAACCGATGCTGCTACTCCTCCCAAGGCTGCAGCTGTAGCAACCACCCCCAAGACTGTAGCTGTTGCTTAACTATTGTCTTCTTCATCAGCTTTTGTCTTATGAGATATTTGGTTTTGGGGGTGATGGACAAGGTTTTTTTTCTATATGTATAAAACATGATCACCAGACTGGTTCTCCCCTGATATATATAATGGTATTCTGGTTCGAGTTCTTTGCCTTGATGGGAGTTCATGTTAGAAAAAGCTTTTTGTGGGGATTGCTTTAAATTGGTGTGGGGATGACCTAAGCATCCTTAGCCAGTGATTCATATCAGATGTGGACCGGGTCTCTGGAGTAGAGTTTTGAATTATGGGTGTTTGGAGGCTGTGGTTAGCGGTGGGTGGGGCGGATTTAGACGGTGGGGAGTTTTCGGGGGCTGGGTGCTCAGGACGGGGTGTTTTGGCAGTGGGCCAAAGGGTGGTTGGGAGTGATAGTGGTGAAGAAGAGCTTGGCATGGTTTGGGCGGGGGAGAGGAGGGAGGTTGGGTCGATAGAGGGAGAGGGACGAGGTTTGGTTTCTGAAGGAGGTGGAGGGTCAAGAGATCGGTGGGAAGAGAGAGAGAATTAGGGCTCTTTTGTTGAATTTGGATCCAATTTCGAGGAGATTTCAGGTGTAATTTTAGACGGATTGGATGATTTTAAATGTCTTTGGCCGACGAAGGGTAAAATATTTTGGATCAACTAATGATGGAGTGTAATAAATAAGAACCTCACGGATAATTTATGTCATTAGTCCTTTTGGGTACATTGTTATTTTCTCTTTTTATAGATTTAACAAACAATACATATATGGATGATTCACATGGCAGGATTGGATTGGTTTTAGTTAGGAAACCTCTATATAGGACTCGATCATAAATTCAATCAAATTTTATGTTTGGTAGGTGATATCAATATATATATGTGGGGTTTATGGATTCATGTCAAAATCATAATCCTCAATTTACTAAAATGTCTATTATTAATTGAGTAGAAGAATAAATTTTTGGATAAAATAATTTTTTTATCTTCAAATTCAATCTTTCACTTTTGAAACCCTCATATCTTCTAAAGGGTTTCATCAAACACCCATACTTGAATTTTAATACATTATTCATTGCAGAATGGGAGCGAGCCAAAATATGAATTTTGAGTTCAAAAATTTTAACCAAACATGAAATTAAATGGTTCTCTGGACTATTTTTCTTAAATCCCCAGACCCAATAAATATTTAACAAAAAGGACCAAATGCTGGTACCTCACCGGTTCAAACTGTGACCATGGTTTTAGTGAAGAAAGGGATTGACAAGGTCATTGAAACTGAAAAGTATTGCAAACGAGCCTTACATTCGGTAGCCCCATGAGACGATAAGATATGTGGTCCTTCCACTTATCCATGAAAAACGAAATGTCTTTGTCCTGTACCAGATTCGTAATCTTGTCAGAACCGAAAAGCAGAGAAGGTGGATATGTGGTCCACCTTCTGAATCCAGACAAATCCTCTCAGCTGATATCGTAGTCCACATTTGCCTAAACCTTTCAGGTCAGGAAACTTTTTTCTGTGACCCGAACTTTGACATTTAAATTACAATAATAAGCTCGCAGTATCGCCAATGCCCGATGTCTTCATCATTCATCATTGCAACAATAGACAAAATGTTCAGAAAAACTCCAAGGCAATGTGCAACAGTAAATATGTCGAGTTAAAAGTATTGTTTATAGTAAATCAAAATGGAAGAGGAGTGGGGAGTTGATCTCATGATAAAACAGTTTCCTCGTACCACATAGAATAAGCCAGAATGAAGGATCAGCATATGAATGGAGTTTCTAATAGTACAAAGGCTTCAATTACTACTGCTAAACAATCCATTTGACTTTACATACCCCCGTATAAGCCACATCTATCAATTCTCCCTCGAAACCAATTGCCTAAATAGACTAGAAAAGCAGATCATAGGTTATAAAAGTGGGCATCAATCATCCCCGACCCCTCAAACCGGCCAGAGACCGAACACATTTATCGCTGCTAATACCATCATCAACTTCGCCTCCATTTGGGCAGAGGGCATTGTTATTGACACTCATTTCAGAACTACCATTACTGCTTGTTGCAAGAGGGGAGTCTGAAACACTGACTGTCCTGCTTTTTGTAGGCCCAGATCTCACACTATACATGGAGGATGCTGGAATGTTTGTCATCAATGGCCGTAGATTGCCCGGAATGGTTCGCCTTATATCCTGCTCCATAGGAAAACACTGGATTAAAACCAAAAACCCCATATTTGAAGGCAATACTGAAAGAAAAAAAAATGAAACACTAAATAGGATGGAGAAGATTGTTGTGAACCAAGTAAAATGAAGGAAAATTTGAAGTTCACAACTCCAGGTGTAAACTTCCGGTATTATTGGTTGACCCAAATGGAATGGGAAACCATAGCAGACTGAATCAGTACGGATTTTTGAATCAAATCAACATAAAGAATACGTACAGCATAAACTAACACTAGGGTATGAAACATAAAGAAGGAGAGCCGAAAAAATACATACCATGTGCCTTATAGCCATATCCAAAGATTTCTTTGAAAGGGTTCGTCCAAAGCCTGAGCTGTCAGGCGATGAAGACTTCCCAGATAAGTTACTACGGGGCGAATGCTTGTCATCTTGCTTTGGTGGAACTAGTTTACGCATATTTATTACCCTTTCTACCATCTTGTTTCCAATCACAACAGGGCTTACGTTGTCATTAGCTTTAGCATATGCACGATTCAATGCAGGAACAGAGCCACCACTGCTATGAACACTGCCATTTGGGAGCCTTCCTCTAGATGGAGAGCATGATTGCCGTCTCATCCTTCCATTAGAAACAGGCTCAACAGATGAGGACCGAACACTTGGTGCTCCAGGCCTGCCTCTAGTGGCTGAAATAGGCCTGTCAGGAAGGGATGTCCTCAAATTTGGTGGGGCATCAAGGGAGTATCCAGGCATTTCCGAAGGTTTCCATGGTCTGGATTTCACTGTTGGAGAACTAGCACGTGGTGGCACTGGATTTCTTGCTGTAGTGGGAACTATCCTGTTAACCGAAGGAGGTGGAGACTTAACCGGAGGAGCAGATGTATTTGCCACTGAAGAAACTGCGGTTGGTCTACGTGTTGGTGTTACTGCCCTCGATGTGGACTTGGATGCAGGTATGGATGCAGGTATAGAGGGTCTAGTCGTTGGGGTTGAAGATCTTGCAGTAGACCTCGCCGTAGGCGTAGAGGATCTTGCAGTAGACCTCGCCGTAGGTGTAGAGGATCTTGCAGTAGACCTCGCCGTAGGCGTAGAGGATCTTGCAGGAACTGTGGGCTTAGTTGCTGGCACAGTGGCACGAGAAGTAGGCGTTGAAGACCTCGAAGGCTTAGTTGTGGCTGTCATTGTGGGCTTAGATACAGTGGTCACAGTCGGTTTTGATACTGAGCTTGATATGGATTTAGAAGTGGCAGTCAAATTGGGGCGGCCAGTTGGCGTAGCAGGTCTTGATCCGGGACCCCCAGATGAAGAGGGCCTGCGTATCCCTGTACTCGAGACATTCAATCCAGGAGACAAAGCTGGTTGTCTAGGTGCTATATTGTTTCTTGCAGCAGGCTCTGGATGTGGATTTGCTAGCTGGAACCAGAGTAAACAAATATCAGCACAACATTAGTTCATGACTTCTGCAAACTCAAACTCAGGATGTCTTAAGTCTAAAAATAACCACTTATGTGCTGTAAACATCTCCCCTGACCAACTAGAGAAATTTTTTCCTCCTTCTATAAAAAGCGGGAGCTGACTTTCTCAATTGCTCTTAGTTAATAATTGAATTTCCATTAGAGAAGCTATCTCTTGCCACCCATGCAATTACATTCCTTGAAATTAAGAAGGTTCCTTTCCTAGACAATGAATATCTACAAACTAAAAAGGATATAAAATCTCGGTGTTTTTTCCTTACAAAACCAAAATATTGCAAGGCTTGCGGAACATGCAAGAGGATGTTCCAAATTTGAATTGATGTGGCATCTAACCATGCACCCCCCCCCCCCCCCCAATTTGGCTTCTTATGGTAAACTCTAACAGGGCTATACATGGGATATAAAATAAAATATCATTTGCAATTGCACACTACGAATTTGCCCTGTAACGAGTAGAGAAGAATTTTGGAGGGTTCTACAAAGTCTGCTGCTACCTGACACAATACCCTTTTTCGGCTTTGAGGCCAACCAGACTTTGAGATGATCTATAAAAGAGCCGGTGTCTTTCAGAGTTTGAAGTCCAGAAATGACCAAATTCTCATCTTATGATTGGTGGAACGAATGCTGAAGCCGGAAGTCTACTGATAATTAGTTCAATACTAATGTCACCTAATATCTTAGTATAAAGGCAGCATGCCAGCACAAGAGACTATTGTTCTTACTCTAGATTTCAGTGAAGTGGGACGAGCTTTAGGAGTTCCAGTCTGACTCATAACGGACTTATGTGATTCCATCTCCAGTGAGGGAAAAAGAGGAGTACCAGGAGGGGTTAGAAGCCTGCAAAAATGTCAGAACTCCAATAAAAACCAGCTAAAAAGACACTGTTTTCTACCACATTTACATAAATGTGCAACGATAACTTGATCCCGAGTATGCACAGGAGAATGAAGTCCATGCCCTAACACATATACAAATGCAGAGGGAATTGAGAAAACAAAATTTCCTTCACCAACTCAATTACAAAAGTCTAGCATTAATGTTGACTTGCCCATTTCATCCATCATAACTTTATATGCAAGCGCATGCAAGATACGGCTATAATCCATTTATAGAGCATTTGCTTAATCATGTAATAATGATGCATAAATCTGCGAATATTTTGTTAAATAGCAAGTCCATTTTACAACACTCCTTGCCTGGAAAAGGGTGTCCCAAAATGCATCACTGCATTGCAGAGTTTCACTAGGTTTTGCCCTACTAGTAGCTATCAGATTAGGCCGCAGGAGGAGAACACAGAGAAATGAAGTGGCTGTAGTGCACCTTAGTTTATTTTTTTTCTATTTCCTATGGTCTGTGGGTGTCGGAGGTGGGAGAGAGGTCTCATGCATAAAGCGGTTTTGGATAGTTTTCTACATCATAATGAATAAAATAGAATTGTGCCAGAGAAACATAACATTTAACTAGATGTAAAAAATTGAGGATTTACAATAATTTGGGTTGGTGATTGATGTGATAAATGCAGAGATTCCACGGCCATGCAGGTCATGGACATATCACATTGGAAGAACATATGGCTAAGCTTAATGGTGTCTGGACAAAACCATAAGCAGTCATCATAAGACTGCATTGGGGGGTTCCAAGAGGCTCACTTGGGAGGAAATGATACATATTTTGTGGATAATATTTTATTTTCTCGAACTTCACCCTATTTGTTCTAAGATATCTTTGTAAGGATACACAGCACAGAAATGCAGATTCAACCAACAAGGTAAAAGGAGATGAAGAGACAAGTGCTAACACTTTTTATCTGAGCTAAAGATGACTATACCAACCATAATTTAAAGATTAAATCCATGTAAAACAAAGAAATGAAACCATTGGAACAAATTAATATTGAAAAAAGGCACAGGGTGACACCAAATTACCAGTCATAATCATTCTTATCATTGTCAGAATTCAGAATATCATCAGCACCAGTCTTGCGCGCATTTGTGGCTGATGGAATGTTGAAGATGGGTGAACCTCCCTGGTTTGATCCTGCAAACGAAAACAATGGGATATAATGTGAATGCATAAATCACACTGCAATAGTTAACTGATAAGCATGTGAATATATAAGCATTAATATCATTTAAGGGGGGAAAAGTAAGCCTTTCAGAAACCAGCCAGTAGAAATTTTAAGACTAATTTGAACATTTTTAACATTATTGGAAGACATCTCAGTACGTAAACCATTGCTAAATTCAAACAAAATCAGATTCGCAGTGGTCATTTAACAGCTAATTAAAGATGCAGAGTCTACATCAAATCATATCACGGCCCCAAAAAAATAAAAAATTTAAGAAAGCAAGATGATCAAATCCATACCAAATGGCGCATCGAACTCTTCTGTGTTCTGAAAAAGAAGATTGTCCCTCTCCTTCTCGCGGTTACGCATCTCGAGAAACAAAGCAAGCTCCTCTTCCTTCTCCCTCATCAACGACGTCCTCGTACCCCCCATTGGCAGCTGTCTCTGCTGTTTCAGAGCAGCTTGCATTCCGGTCTCCTGAGCCCTAAAACTCCGATTCATCACAAAATCTGTGCTCTACAAACCTTAAAACTGCAATTCATCACCAATCCAAAATCCACCACCTCAGAAAACATCAAAACCACCAAATCTCCAACTAAAAACCCTAGATTTTCAATCAAAACTCCAAACACGACCTGTAATAAACCCAATGCACCCTCAGGACTCTTCTGTACCAAAATCAATAGCTCCAAATCACTAGTTTATCACCAAATTCGCACGTCCACGGCCACAGCAAAACCTCCGATTCTCGAACTCGAAACCCTATCTGTTGATTGGCAGACTCAAAACATACCGAAAGCCTCGTAATGTCGCTTCAAATTCGAAACGGACACCTCTAGATCTGAAATCGAGCTCAGGTTCCTTCAATAATTGCCAGAAGAAATCGGCATCTCATATCTCTCTACTAATAGGAACTCCAAACATTCGAACAAGCACAATAAAGCTGAAATCCAGACGAAAGAAGGTATATACACACATATATTAATGGATATCTAGAGAGAAAGCGAGAGGTAGAGTTTTCAAATGTACACAGCCGATAAACTAAGCTGTGTGTGTGTGAGAGAGAGAGAGAGAGAGAGAGAGAGAGGACAAGAGAAGTTAATTTGGAGAAACGACTTGAAGACCGGAGAGAGAGAGTCGAGGGAAGGAGAGATTGGCAATGAATGTTAATATGGTCAGATTTGGGGGGTAAAATTGGGAGACTGAGAAATAGCTCTGTTCTCATGTGAGTGAGTGAGAGAGAGAGAGAGAGAGAGAGAGAGCGAGGGGATTGTGTTGCTTTAATGCAACTAACGCCTTGTCTGTTTCTCTCGCTTAAAGATCACGTTATCATAATTTTACAGGTTGTTAAATCGAGCTCATAATTACGAAACTACCCCTATGTAATATTTTATTACCTAAATGTTTTGAATCCTGGGTTGGGATTTTGCAGTGGTGCCCCTGTACTTTCGGTATTTCTCACCGGGTGGTATGCTTCAAACTCAATGTATCTTTTTGAAAAATTGACACTGATATAATATTTTAGAACGAATTATATTTTATACCCTAAAAAATTTAGGAATTTTTATTTTGCACTCAAAAAATTAAACTTTCTACCTTACACCCTCAATATATTAAAATTATTATTATATGACCCAATTGTTAGTTTTTTTTTTGTTTATTCTATTAAAAACACCTCATTGACGTTGAAGGTAAAAAAAATATAAAAAAAGGGGTAAAAAGTGTGATTCTCTAAATATTTTACTACCTGGATTTTTTGAATTCTTGGTTGGGATTTTGCTGTGGTGCCCCTGTACTTTCGGTATTTGTCATCGAGTGAGATGCTTCAATGTTTCATTTTGAAAAATTACCCCCTCAACTAATTACAAAGCTTCTTTGAGTAGATTAGGCTTGTGCATTAAAAACATTATCCTATCCCTAATGCAATATTTAATAAGTTGATTGGTAGAAAAGAAGAGGGGAATCTGTTGCCTTCCAACTGCCCTCCCCTTACAAAAAGAATAATCCACTTGGCTGCAAAAATGTCTTTTGAATGTAGTAGCAAAGAGTAAAGGGCAAAAGAAATTTAATGCATTTATTCACAGCAGCCAGTGTTATATTAGACGTTGTTTGTCCCGAGTTAGGATAAAGGAGAAAAATTGCGTTAAATAACCAATAGTCAACGTAAAATTTTGTTGAATTTGTTCTGATAAATCTAAACAATGATATCGAAATGGATGTCGAAAACAAACTCATACACACAACCCTAAAAATGGATGTCGAAAACAAACTCATACACCTAACCCTAATCAACTTTATAACACAACTATCCTCCTTTACTCGTTTTAGAATGAATCAATTAATTCCGTAAAAAGTAAGAGGAAGATTGTGGTATTGAAGTTAGTACTTCAACAAAATTTGTAATTTTTTAGGGCATGTTTATTTGAAAGAGGCTCAATGGGCTTGTTACACAATTGAAGGGACAAATTTCGAGCGAGCAAGTACAAATAAAGAACGAAATTAGGTAATTAGTTCTCAACTAATTCATACAAATGATATTAATAAAATACTATTCGATCATATTCTTTGTGTAATAAGTTTTAATCAATGTTTGGATAAGGTATAAATCTAAAATTATAATCTCAAATTTTTGTTTGGGTTGAGTAATTATATTTGATATTAAATTAAATATAACAAAACAAATATTGAGGGCAAGAGTTGGCGTAATGTATAACTTTTATATAAAGATGTGGCTTTAAGTTTGTAAGAGTAATAAAGTCATTCTGGTTTTAAAGATAATAACACCTATCACATGGTATTCATTAATACTTAATATTTTGTATAAAATGACAATAGTGAACCTGATCGAAATTAATATCAAGTTATTATAACTCAATTCAAACTTGGTATTAAATCATCACGTGATTAAATTAATTCAATTCAATTTTTTAATACCTAAGAAAATATGCATTTATAGTTTGTTTGGTAGACGTATTATAAAGGGATAAAATATTAAATTATACTATTTTTCATTTAATCGGCAATAATACTTTATTTGGTAAACAAATTTGATATCGCATTAATTTCAAAAACGTATATTTATTGTTTATTTTTTATACGATAAACCTGTATTAAGGAAGTATTTTAATAATACTAAGAGAGATGGTATTGTCCAAGTAAAACATATGATTTTACACATTTACTATTATAATCTCTAACTAATAAAATCAACCTATCATCAATGTAATAAACATTGATTGAATGTATTTTTGTTAATTCAATATTAATACGATGAAATAATTCACTAACCAAATAACTGACTGAATTAAATAATTATTATCCAACGTTTATGTTGTGTATTGTCCAACACTAGACAAAATTATGTGTTATTATAATATTCTATTTAATCTTATCTTTTGTCTATTTATATTATATTATATTAGAATTATTTTATCTAATTCATTCATTTCTAATAAGGCAACCAAACAAACCCTTAAAATATATAAGTTATAATTACAAAAGATGTAATTGATACTAAAAATTATAATTGATCGTGAAAATTAAAACTTTTAAAAGTTACTATTTGAGGTCATTCATGATTGATCACAAATTATCTCAAGGAGTTGTAACTTTACTTTTTTTTTTTTTTTTTTTATGGTGTCTAGGTTTATATCGATTGTTCCCTCGAACTCTAAATTAGCCACGGTAACTCGAGCTAATTTTAAGAACATATCATCGAAGGAATAAGAGTGACTGACCCTTAGGGAACGTGAAAAATATCGAACTTAAAACCTCTTACTTATAAGAGGGCAAGCTTAATCACTCGATCACCCCTAAAAAATATAACTTTTACTTTTAATATGTGTAATTTAACCTTTAAAAATAGTAACTTTTAATGCTCTTAAGATGTTTCCCATGGGAGGGTAGAAGGATGAATTAATTGGTAGAAATTTTGTTGATTATCAAGTGTCATACGAAGTATGCACTCGGAGGTTGACATTCAACTCTCTTTTTAGAGATTGCCCTATAAAAACAAGTTTGTTCTACCTTAAAATGAGGGAGTTGTCTATGGCACTAAAAAAAAAAATCGGTATCATATCTTTATTTTTCACATTTGTGTATATTTTTATCATTATTGTGGGTGTTTACAAATATGATAAATCACTTACAAAAATAATAAATTATATTGTACCAAAGAAAAGTGATAAAAATAGTTACCATAAAAATGATAGAAACACTTACAAAAATGATAAAAAAATTTTGGTATAAATTACCTATAAAAATTATAAAAATATCAATTAAAATAATAAATTTTTGAGTTACGATACCCATTTTTTTTCCCTCGGTTGATTTTGGAGTCACAAGTTTGCATTGAGTTATTCGTCTATTGGCATTATCGCTTATGACTAGATTGATATGATAACACCCACTAATTTAATTGCGATGCTGCCTTAATTGGCGCGAAAAGGACCTCGTGTGATGCAAGCAGTTTGATAACAATTTGGTGGGCGTTTTCAACTGTAAATTTTTAATTATTATTATTGGGAAAGAAGAGAATGAACGACTTGTATCATTGAATTCCAATGCATATATGTTTTATATAGTGATGACTCCGTTGGTGGTTAGAGTCATGAGTGATCTGATTACATGATAATGAAGACCATCATCTATCCTTATTGAGAATCCCAAAGAAATCTCAAACCCCCCAAAAAAAATGGAAATATAAAAAAAATAAAAGAAAAAGAAAAAGAAAAATAGATGAAGAAATAGCTTTGTTCGTGAATATAGGACTAGTAATTTTCAATTTTGTCAACAAGCTTGTTGGAATCTGCTTTCAGTGATCGTGAATGATAGGTACTTAAGATGAAAAATGATACATTTTTTTTAATTCTTCATTGTTTGTTTTGTTTTGTTAATATTTAATGGAAAAAAGGGCGCAAAATCTTCTATTATTATTATTTTTATTATCGATGCATGTGATTTACGAGTCCATACTTTTATAATGATTTTGATAATCGGTCCCTTGCATAAGATTAGTAATGTACTATAGGTCTGATGATATTTATTTGCATCCTCCTACCAATATGGACTTTGACCTCTCTCCAATTATTTCAACATGTTTTTTCTTAAAAAATCCTTTTAACACTAGTTTAAAATAAATTGTTTTATAGACCAGGTATAATCATGGGCAGAACCAGCAATTAGGTTAAGGGAGCAAAGTATGACTAAAGAAATTCATCAAAACGGTTCAGTGCACGAGGCTTCCAATTGTGCGGAATTTTAGGAGAGTCAAATATATACAATCATACTCAAAAAAAAAAAAAAAAATATATATATATATATATATATATATATATATATATATACAATCAATAAAAAAAAATTGAAATCTAAACAGGACAAGATATATAAGATTTAAGATTAGATTATTTGATGGAACAAGTTTTTATTTATTTTAAATAAACTATGGGCAAAAAAAATTAGTCTATATATATAGATATATTGGCTATAGCATTTCACATATTTTTTATTCAATCAAAAAATAAAATATTTATTTTAGGGAAAAATTGGACTACTAACTTATAAAAAAATTTAGTCCACGTTAATTAATTGAACAAAACAATGGATAACATGTAAAGGAGATTCAAAAGTTAAGAAGGCAAGTCCCCCGGCTCCGTCCTAAGTTAACATGGCTTCGCCCTTGTGTATAACATGTCATTAATAGATTCAATTACTAAGAAAAAGACATGAAAATTAAAGTGGGACTTTTAAGTCGGGTTCCACATTCCTGAGTTTGAAATTGACAATTTCATTGAAATTACATTATGAAAAATTTATTCTTTATAAATTTTTTAATTTCAACTTTAATGATTTGTTTTTTATTGGACAAAAAAAAATTAGTCAAAATGAACATAAACTAATCCGTACACTTATAACCACAATGTAAGGGGTAGAATCCTTTACTAAGGATTTCGGCTTGACCTGGGTTAACCCACGCGGGTGACCCCCCAGTAGTCTTTACCTCTCAGTGCCCGCAGGAGCTTCGTCCCACATCGACTGAGAGTCGTCTCTCCCCCTCGCATGTAAGTTCTTGCACTCAAAGGAGGA